CGCTCTCCCGCCCCAGGTGACTCCTGCTCCTGCGCCGGGTCCTGCAAATGCAAGAACTGCCGCTGCCGGAGCTGCCGCAAGAGTGAGTGCTGGGCTCAGTCTGGGGGGGAGGTCCTGTCCCCGGGGTGACCCAGCCTTTCCCTAGGGGAATCCTTCCTCACCCTGCAGGACCCCTATAGGGATCTCCCTGCCCCATAGGGGAGCCCATCTTTGCCCTGCAGGACCCCTATAGGGATCTCCCTGCCCCATAGGAGAACCCCTCTTCGCCCTGCAGGACCCCTATAGGGGTCTCCCTGCCCCATAGGAGAACCCCTCTTCGCCCTGCAGGACCCCTATAGGGGTCTCCCTGCCCCATAGGAGAACCCCTCTTCGCCCTGCAGGACCCCTATAGGGGTCTCCCTGCCCCATAGGAGAACCCCTCTTCGCCCTGCAGGACCCCTATAGGGGTCTCCCTGCCCCATAGGAGAACCCCTCTTCGCCCTGCAGGACCCCTATAGGGGTCTCCCTGCCCCATAGGAGAACCCCTCTTCGCCCTGCAGGACCCCTATAGGGGTCTCCCTGCCCCATAGGAGAACCCCTCTTCGCCCTGCAGGACCCCTATAGGGGTCTCCCTGCCCCATAGGAGAACCCCTCTTCGCCCTGCAGGACCCCTATAGGGGTCTCCCTGCCCCATAGGAGAACCCCCCTCCTTGCCCTGCAGGACCCCCATAGGGACCTCCTGACCCTTTTCCCATAGACAGCTCCTTCTTGCCCTGTAGGACCCCCTGTGGAAATTCTAGTGCTCCCCCATTAGGGTGCTTCTGCCCCATAGGACTCTCATGGGGCTCCTTTCTTCTTCCCTGTCCTGTAGGACTCTCATGAACACCCCAAGCCACTGCCCCATTGGGGTCACAACCCTGCCCATGGTTGGGGAGGTGTTTCTCCACTCTCCATAAGGTGCCCCTGCCCCATGGGACCCCCATCCTTTCCTGCCCACCCACTAATTCTCATGTCATTACCCCCCAGGCTGCTGCTCCTGCTGCCCCGCCAGCTGCAGCAACTGCGCCAAGGGC